GCAGAGAACCAGTGGCTAACATTTTAGGTGTGCACTCACTCTTTCGGATTCCCAGAGAATCAGTGGGACACCATTCCAACTAGAAGTGGCGCTTATAGAGAGAGAGTTGATATCCTTATTTTGGGACAAGCAAGCCTATTCTGTCCCGGAATCCTTAGACCCCATCCTGAATTCACAGCCAACCAACCATGTGATGTGTGTGAACACACATTAGTAGTTACATATTTGCATTTTCCAGAGATTAAACCTTGGGCCAGCTGGGTCAGAAGACACAGAATGCAAATAGGAGCTTAGCACACTGTCACTAGATGGCAATGTTTACTATCAGTTCTGCCTTCGTCAACATTGTCGCCTCTGACACTTCTTCCCTCCACGCCTCAGTGTCTGCTCAGAAGGCACCTCCTGAGGGGTGCATTGCACATGCCTCCAGGTCCATTGGTCCAGAGACAACTCACCAGCCTGGGAAGGGAGGTCTTAAGTGGAGGGTGCATACTCACTGTGCCGCCTCAGAAACTAAGATCTATAATGATACCATTTAACCTTTACATGCACAATGTATGCTAGGCTCTGGAATAAGCAATCTACACAGCATTCATTCCTTACCACAACTCATGTTTGTTATTCTCACTGTAGGGGTGAGGACACCAAGGCTCAGAGAGGTGGAAAGCTCGTCCTGGGACACCTGGGCCAACGAGGAGCTCAGGTTTGAGGAGCCTGGAGAGTGTGGCTCCAAAGTCCACTCCTCCAGGCTGCCTCTTAACATGGCATGTGGAACATCACCAAAGCAACCCACCCCAACACTTCCTCCTCAAACCCTGGCTCTGAAGCAAAGAGAAGGTGGCATGTGAGGGGCAGGATCAGAAGCAATTTCTGCTCATTACGAGAATGTCATGAGAGCCCTGTGACTCTGCCACCTCTTAACCCATCTCATCGTTCATTCCTACACCAAGAGCCTCCTGAGCATCTCTGGCCAGCCCCATGATGGCACAGGCCATGCAGGCGTCTCGAGACATGGTCCCTTGTCCTCAGTGGAGACAGGGGTTGAGTCTTTCCCATGCATCACCATGTCTCTAATCTCTCAGCACAAGTACTCAGACATCTGCTGAAGGAATGGATGAGGAATGCAAACACCAAGGAAACTATTCCACAGAAACCCAGATAAAAAAAATAAGTACCTACAGGTAATGATGCATATCCCAAATTCTAATCTTATATGTTCATTCTGCAAAAATAATGAGATGTTAGCAGTTTCAGAATCAGTGTTCTCTTACTCTATTTCCCCAGACAAGAAACACTATCTGTTCTGCTTTGGAATTATAGCAAGAATTCTCTCTTAGGTGGAACCATATGATTTTAATGCACGGATGAATTTCAATTAGACATTTATCTAACCATGCTGATGTGTTTTTAATTTAGCCCTAAATTACAGTCCTTTCAAATAACTGTGCTCTCCTCTCTGCTTCTCTCTTTAATTTTGGTTTGGTTTTGTGAAAGGTCTGCTGGTAAAAATGAAGCAATACCAGTAACTTATCTACAAATTACGGGAAGGAGAAAGTAGGTTAAAAAAGACCAAGAAACTTAAAACAAGTATGAGCAAACCACATCCGAGTTAGGCAGGAAACAATAGGAGACTGATCACGCTCATAGGGAAGGAAGGTAAATCGTACCAGGACTACTGTCAAACGAGTCAGATGAGACTCACCTCTCACTCTTCCCGAATTTCAACTGTAGTCATCAGAATACAAGGTTCGATTTCACACAGGGGAGAGGTAACAACCAGAAGTAGAAAGCCAGCACTTTCACTGGGGTTAGGAACTCCTTCCACACTAGAGAGCGTCTAGTTTTCAGTTCAGGTGCCTACCACTTGTATCCCAAAGGCAGTTTGTGTGTTTCTCACAATGGAGGTGGGACCTTCATCCCAAGAAGAGGCCACTGGGAGAAAGAACAGGTCTCCTAAATGCTCCCTCTAATTAGAGAGTCCAACTAAAATGGGTATCCTAAGCTGAGATGTCACTAGTAACCTGCAATTCACTTTTGCACCAACTGCAAACCCCCACATATTAATGTCAATATCCTGCTTGTGCTATTGTACTACAGTTTTGCAAGATGTTAACGTTGGGGGAAACTAGGGAAGATCTTTCTGTATTATTTCTTACAATGGCATGCAAATCTGCAATTATCTCAGTAAAAAATTTCAGTGTACAGAACTGCATATTGATGGATGAATGGATAAAGAAAATGTGGTAAATGCACACAATGGAATACTATTCATCCTTAAAAAAGAAGGAAATTCTGCCATATGGGACAACAGGGATGAACCTTGAGGACATTATGCTAAGTGAAATAAGCCAGTGACAAAAAGACAAATACTGCATGATTCCCCTTATATGGGGTATCTAAAATTGTCAAACTCATAGAAGCAGAGAGTAGAACAGTGCTTGCCAGGGGCTGAGGGCTGGGGGAAATGGGGTGGTGTTGTTCAGTAGGTATAAAGTTTTGGTTATGCAGGTTGCTCCATAGCACAATGAATAACACATGGACTTCTGAAATTTCAGTAATGCAAGATAAAAGAGTTCTAGAGACCTGCCCGACAACATTGTGTCTATTGTCAACAAGAATGTATTATACACTTAAAATTTTGTTAAGAGGATAGATGTCATGCTCAGTATTCTTACCACAATTTTAAAAAATCCCCTGCAAACCCAAGAGCCCCAACAATCACTGGGTTTATTTTTTTGAACAGTAAGTCTAACTTCAGCACTGTAATGAGTATCTTATAGGAAGACATTCTGTGATGAAACCTTAGCAGCTAACAAAAGAAAGTCCAATATAGCACTCAATACATCCCAAATTGTTATAATGTAAATATGGTGTCAGCAGCGAGCTGGGTGGAGACTAGGCAAATTTAATGGTGAACACATGCCTCATCAAAGGGGAGCAGGGTCTGCGGAGCTTCCTGCAGAAACATGTGCATATGGGGACCAGATCTTCTGACTGTTCAAGAGATTCCAGAATCCAGACTTTGATGTGAAACTTCCTAAATTTTAATGTTAGCAATTCATAAAATTTTCTTTTAAACACTGTGAAGACCAAACCAAGCATATCTGAGGGCCAGCATGCAACTTGTCAGGCACTTGATGGGTACTTTAAATATATTTTCTCCACATCGTCACCGACAGCCCTCCAGAGCAGGGCTTGCTTTCTCTGTTTTCTACACAGGTGAAATGACGTGACCATGGTTCCCCAGCTGGTGGGGTGCTTGGCAGCTCTGCCTGGAGGCCCTACTGATTCTTCTGACTCAGCATTTCCTTACTAGCATTTTTAGCAAAAAGCTAGGTGAAGAAAGTTGCAGAGAAATATCTCTGGCTCCATAAACACAATCAGCTACATATTTTCCAGACCATCTGTTGTCATGAGATGGACCACGAGTGGAGTCTTTCCTATTCAACACAGCACCCTGTCGCCTCCAGATGAAATCCTCTTACCAAACACTTCTTCCCATTAGAGCACTTATAAGACCTGAGATAATACTCTTATTTGCATATTTGATCTACGTCCATCTCTCTACTGGTCTGTAAAGCTCCAAGTGACAGAGACTATTTATGGTTTTGTATATCCCCAGAACCAGCATGATGTCTGGCCCCCAAAAAAGGGCTTAATAAACACACATTGAATGAATCAAGAAAGGCATAAGCCAGATGAGGGCCATGAAAAGGCCCCATTCAATTCAGCTGAATGAACTCTACCACCACCAAGGACAGAAAATTTCTGGGAACCTTTTCAGAGGCTCAAACACTCCCCTGAATAGCAAAATGGCCTGGCTGGACTACTGTACACCAAAAAAACTGGAAGGCCAGGGGCCTCTTATAATTGTATTCTATACAGTGGTGGCCTTTTATCTGCAGTATCAGAATCCACTCACTCATCCAGGTATGGCAACAGTCTACTGCCCCAGGGCAAGCCCAACCCTTTTACCTTTGTGCCTATTGCCTGAGCACCTGACCGCAGAAACAGAATCCTCAGGAAACTATCTTTGTATAAAACACTCTGTGCTCATCCCTGACACGTATGCCAAGTCCATGCTACAGCCCATATGATGACAGACAAGATGCCTGCCATAAGCAACTCAGAGTAGGTAGGACCTTTGACAAGAGCGAACCAGAAGTAAGGGCCTTACAGGCTGTGCGTGTGGCAAGAACACAAGCACAGAGGCAGAAACACAGGGTGTACTGGGGGAAAAGCATGTTGGATTAGTACTAAGGAGCTCAGGACACACAAGCAGGACAGTAGGAGGACAACACAGATATACAGGGGACAAATGGGGAAAGCCTCAGGAGAAGTCACAATACTGGCCATCAGGTATTTTCCTTTAGTAGTGTTTGAAGTACAACTCTAAGGTTCCCGCGGACCATGAACATACTTTCTTTAGTACATAATTTGGTGATAACTTAAAACTTGAGAGATTTTACATAAAAATGCAGATTTTCAGCTTCTCTGGAAACATGAGAAAACCTGGCAATACTACATTCACATTCCTACAGAACAACTGCAGGCTGGGGTGGAACAGCAACTGCTCATAAACAAGGCATATGTTCTCCTATTTGCCATAGTCCCCACCACTCCCTACTGCTCTCACCCAGAAGCCTGCATCATTCATAGATGTTCACTGCCTAACCTCTGCAGATATCTGTGCTCTAGACAAGGCATTCTCTCATTCTGTCCTAATAACAGTGTCTTGCAGATACACAATCTGAGGCCCAGAGTAGTTCACTTCCATGTTTAATAACATATGATTACTCAAATTCACTATCAAATACAATTTTCCTGGGTATACATTTCAAGACTCTGATTTGGTTCCTTGAATCCCAGACCAGCTTATGTATCATCATTGCTGTATAAGCAGAATGTTGGTTTCTGATATTAGAGAAACACACAGACTAACAAAATGAGCAAAGGCTTCTTATCAAAGTTGAAAAATTGTCCTAAAGCTAATGACTTACACAACTTCTCTGAACATCCTGTTCAGTCTTAGCGTACATCTCAGACAGATCACCATTCAGAATGACTTCAGCTAATGAGTTCACCAGCGGTGCATGATGTATAATTAGGAAGACCTGGTGAAAAAGAAGAAAGAGGATTTGCATTAAAGTGTGCAGCCCTTCAACCAGGCTGGGCTACATAAATCCTGTATTAAGCAGTAATCCCTGTGAGGCAAAATCCAAAGAATGGGTCACATTTAGGTGAAATTAGTAAAAGTCTTCCTCTAAGGCTGGCCTATCCTTCAGACTGTTGTCTATTTGGCTGGCTGGTCTTCCTCGGAAGGAAGTGCATTAAGGTGAGACCGTCCCTCGTGGCTGGCTACAGCCAAATCTGGCTGAAGTGGAGCAATGTGGGAAAGGAACAGCCAACGCAGCACACTCCTTCCTTTCCACTGGCATTTTAGTGTCAAATTTGATTATGATGAGACGAGAAGGCACTGTCCCAAAACTTCAGTTATATGGAAGAAGGGGCCAGCAAATTTTGTTCCAATCAAGGACTTGGGCAAAGGATCAGCTCCATAGAGATTCTATTGCTAGAATGAGCTCTGACCCCTGCGGTGGGTTTTAGCATACTGAGATCGCATGGCAGCGTCGTTAGGTGTGGAAACTATGGGAAAGAAAAGCCACACAAGCCAGACACAGACCCAGTCATGCCAGCATGCAAAATCAGAAAGCTCTGGGCTGTCTCAGCTGGCCCTGTTACCCCACCCTGTTGCCCAGGGTTCAAAGGAACGGCTTTAGGAGTCAGGGTATTCAAAACTGCCTTGCAAAGCTGCCCTAGACACACCTGCTATTTTGTTTTAAAATGTAAAGGCAACAGGGTGTAGCACAGTGTTGGTTGTACCTTCTATATGCATATAAAAAGAATGTGTGAGCATGTTTGTATTTGCTTATTTATATATACACACAACAGTGTTTCTCAGTCTTGTCACTAATGAAACTGTGGCCTGTCCTGACACTGTAGGACATTTAGCAGCATCCTTGACCTCTACCCACTAAATGCCAGTAGCACCTCTTGCCTAAGTCATGACAACCAAAAACATCTCCAGGCATTGCCAGATGTCCCCAGTTAAGAACCCCTAGCAGAGAATGTCTCTAAAAGGACATATGAGAACCCTATAACTAGTTGTCTCTGTGGACAGAAATCAGGAGCCTGAACAAAATTAGAAAGGAAACTGAACTTTTTAACTTTAAAAATGGTTTTTGTTAAGGAAAAAATATATATATATTGTATATAAAAAAAAGTAAAGGCAGAAACTAACACTGGCTGCCTCTGGGGAATGGGACTGGGTGACTAGGGGACAAGGGGTATCAGGGTGACTTCTTTTCCCCACATACCATGTTTGATTAGAGGGAATATATTATTCAAACAAATAAATACAATTTAAATTAAATAAAAGGTACAGACCAGCATAGCCAAATATGGCACCTACCTTAAAAAAAAAAAAAAAAAAGCACATTTGTTTTTAAAATACTGGGGAGATCTTTCTTATCATAGAGACTATATAGTGTAAGCAAATAAGTTAATGAATTTCCAGGGCTGTGGCAGGGACTCAAATTTAGGCAATGATGATGGTGATGGTTTTTCTCACTTTCATCATGGCCAAATTACTGCCACACTTCACTCGACCGGAAAACTAAACCCCAATCACTGAGTTCACTCACTCCACAAATATCTACTAGGCACCTGCTCACCTGATATGAATGTGACCTTAGTTGATGATTTATTCATTCTTTTATTCAGTCTATGAACATGCTGTGAGCACCTTCTAAGGCCCCCCAAAGGCCAACTGATTCACAGTGCTCATTTTCCTGGCTCTGAACTGGGCAAAGGAGGAGAGCAAGTCACCGCAGCATACATGGAATTATGCACAGGCCAGTTTAGTTTCTGGAGGACAGCATCACCTGTTCATACTAAATTGTCATCAATGTGAATTTTTGTGGTTTTGTGGCTGTGCTTATAAAATAACTTGTAAGTATATATTGATTTTATAGTGAGATAGGGGCTTTAAGGACACAGGACTTTAGGTTTTCACACATGTAGGTGAAAATGCAGGGGGAAAAAGGGCTTGAGATTTTTATCTTTAAAAGGGGGCTGTTACTTAAGTTTGAGGAACCCTGAATTACAAACTATGCTTTCTGCAAGGTATTAAAACAAGTAATCAGATGTCTGAACTACTTGTCCTTCACTAAGAAAACAGGAGAAAGGGGTTCTTAGAGTATACATATAACTTCTCTTCACTAAAGTACCAGCTGTGGGGGTTTGGCAGCCATGCTCCCCACAGAAGACCCTGCCCATGCAATGCTCCAACAGCTGAAGGGTCCTAAGGACACTTTCCAGGGGCCTCCTGTAGCTGAGCAACTGGCCTGTGGGGGTCCTGCCAGACTCCCAGAATCCCAAGGAGGAGATGCTGGCAGATCGGTAATGAGGCGGCAGAAAAAACTTCCAGGAGAGGCTGGGTTTGTACTGAGCTCTATCACACAGAGGGGCATTCAGACAGAGTCGGCACCGTGCAGAGCTCTGAGCAAACACAGCACCCAGAACAAGACTCAGGGACATGAGCAGTGGCCAGGCCACATCCGGATCCTGATGGGCCTATCCGCTGGGAGGAGGCGGTGCCTGAATCTCTCTTCTCAGGCCAACTGGAGACAGCCTTCCCCCAAACTGGAAATAGTGGGGGATCAAATTAGAAGGATAGTCTCTCATCAAAGTGAATAAATACCTGGGCCATTGCAGAAGTGGGAACAGAGCTCTGGTCAAATGTCTGAGTACTTGACAGTCTAATGAGATGGTCTGGACTGCTTGTAATAAAAATATTTTTGAAGTTATGTAACTGAGTCACCATGGAGTTTTTCCCTTCTTGTAAATATTACATAATTACGAGAAAGAAACACACTTGTTTAAGGAGGCGAGGCAGACAAATTGGCTCAAGACACAAAACCTGGGAGCTGCAGCTGCTACAAGACACCTTCCAGAAGGTAATCTGGGAACTAGAACCATGACAAAAGCCTTTTAAAATAGCCTCATTACAGGAAGTTTGCTATCCCAAGGTTGCTGTGTGTATGCACACCATGGGTCCTGCAGTGTGGGGCTTGTTTCAAAATACTGTGAATAAGAGCCATTCAGCCGCCATTTCCAGGGTATTTAGAGCACTCCTCAGTTGTTCTCGAAACCTCAGTCCTCATGGTAAAAATCAACTACCTGTAAACAAGTGCCAGGTTTGATTTATTTTTCATTTCTCTTTCAATTTTCATCGCCAACCATGAAGAAGATGCAAACCACCTCTACTCAGGGTCTGGAAAATAGAATGCCCCTTTCTTTTTATTGTTATTTTATTTGAAGATAGGAGTCATAGAGAGAGAAAATGTCGCAGTGTGACCTACAGATTTCCTGAAAGGCAGCAGCACTCCAAGGGACCCCAACTGTGGTGGGGTCATGGGTGAATGATCAAACTTACCTGCGACAGAAGATAGAGAGACACCGGCAGGCTGATTTTCGGTTGTTCTCCTCCCTAGGGGAGGTTGGGGGGGAGAGAGAGAGAGAGAGAGAGAGAGAGAGAGAGAGATCCCAGGTCAAACAAGTGAACAACATGAAATACACAAAGCCAAAAGCCACCTGTGTGAACGAGAGACGCCCTGTCCCCCTGACTTCCTCCACAATCCTAAGGCTGCCCTTTCCTGATGCTGGTCAAAAATCCACTCTGCAAAATACATTTGCAGCCTAATCCCACTCAGTACTGCTGCAAGGCCACCACTTCTCCACCTGAGAAATCTTTCAACACGAGTCATGGATTAGAGGTTGACCCAAGAGCAGAACTTGCTCCTTAAATTACCCAGAATGTTCATTCCCTCCAGGTGGGGCACCAAAAGCCTCAGCAGGAGAGGGCCCCAAAAGGCGTGTTCTTGGAAAGGAATTTTCAAAGCATGGGGGAGGGGCACTCTGGCCTCAAAAAACCCCTTGTTTGTACTGAGCTTCAAGATGCTCCATCTCACGTCAACCTCATGAGGGAGGGTTCTTTAGGACCCTCATATTGCATCCAAAGAAAGGGGCTCAGTGAGCTGGACAGCCTTGTCCAAGGTCGCAGAGTTATGGAAGGGAGGAGGCAGAATCTGAACCCAGGTCTAAACACTCCAATTCCCATGCTTTGTCTATGCTCTCCAGAGCTGCCTCTGGTAGATCTAATTAGGGTTGCAGTTTTCTTTTATTTATAGAAAGAATCCCCATGTTCCATCTCCAGAAAGAAATCTACATCCCCTGGAACACATCTGCAGAGGCCAAAGCCCTGCAGGGTGACCAGCTGCCTCTATCCTGCTCCTGCTGAGACCTCTTCTCTCTTTCTCTCAACCCCTTTAACTCTGGAGAGACCGCATATAGCCTCCCTGAGGCAGCATTTCTCACTCACAGTCACCTGGGGGGCAGGTTAAATATGCGGATTCCTGGGCCCAGCCCAGACCCACTGAACCAGATGAGAGAGGGGGAGAAGGTGTGGAGGAGCTGTATGTCCCCACCCACCATCCCCACAGAGGGCTCTGAGGCTTGCTCGCTGTGGACAAGCACTGCCCTGGGATCCTTCTCCGAGGGCGCTCCATCCCTTCCTGGTCATTCTCTGCAAGTTTGGTTGCTGTCTGGATCTTCTTCAAATCAATTAGTTCTGGCAACTATTAGAAAAAGTGACTGGAGATGAGAACACCTCAGGGAAGAATGCACAGAAACCAAAAACCTAAATTCGTAGAGGCTTCCCGTTTCCTTCCGATGTCAGCCATTACATAAGGAGCCACCCAGTAACTAGTCACTTCCCTTCATATGAATGTACCCTGTCCCTGGGCTCTGTAATACTGACCTCAAAGTGGTCTATGGCTGCCACATCTGCTCTTCACCACAGAAGAGTGAGAATGGTCCAGAACTCTTGAGATCTGTGGGTAACATGGAGAAAACAAAAATAAAAATATATTTTTATAGCAGTTTCCAGACGAGTGTATTATTTTTTGATCAGCCCAAGATACTATCTTTTGTTTTTTCTCCTTTAATAACTTTTAGACTCTGTGCTCCAGGAAGGTAAATATAACATAAGTCTTATTCCCTACTATATTACAGAAACTGCCACATAGATAATTTTTTAGTATGTGTATATGGGGAGGGGGGTATTTTTATTTATTTTTTATTATTAACATATTCATTATTACAAACCATAATTTTTCCTTATGCCCTTTACCTGACTTATCACTCCCCAGTCTCCCTCCTGCCTTACCTCATCTCTAGTATCCTTACGGTTTGTTTTCTCCTGAGAGTTCAATGTTCTTGTTACGGTCTTCTTTATTTGTTTCTTTGTTTCTTTGCTTCCTTCCTTCCTTCCTTCCTTCCTTCCTTCCTTCCTTCCTTCCTTCCTTCCTTCCTTCCTTCCTTCCTTCCTTCCTTCCTCTCTCCTCTCTCTCTCTCTCTCTCTCTCTCTCTCTCTCTCTCTCTCTCTCCCTCCCTCCCTCTCTCTTTCTTTCTTTTTCTTTCTCCTTTTTATTTCTATGTATCTTTCTTTCCTCTTTTCGTAGCACCCAGTTATGATACTAAGTTATGATGAGGGAGGACATGTTGTATTTCTCTTTTTGTGTCTGGCTTATTTCACCTAACATAATTTTCTCCAGGCTCATCCATGTTGTTGCAAATGACAGAATTTCATTCCTCACACACACACACACACACACACACACACACACACACACACACACACACACACACGAGTCTCTCTCTCTCAGGAAATATGAGGATAGGAAAGGAAACCAATGTGCTTTGAAAGGAAGGAATCTCCCTCAGGCTCAAAGCCCCAGTCCTTTGCAGAGTTCAGCCCCATTCAAGGCTACTGTTCTCTCCCCTTTTGAAGACAGCCACAAGCCAGCAGGAGTAATGGGGCCAGGCCCCCCAGACCCACCTTGTCCTGGTTCTCTAGTGAGTACACGTAGAGGGGCAGGAAGAGCCTGTTGAGCAGGTGGTCTGTGAGCACATCGTTGAGAAACTCACAGTTGATGATCAGGATGTCATTGAGATAGTGCAGGTGGTCCAGGTGCTCAGCTACCAGGTCACTCAGTTTCCCCCGATTCCGGTGCCTGCCAAGAGAAAAAACTACCTCAGCCTGAAGACTGAAACTGGGAGCCTAGAAACATATAACCAATGGCCTGAGACTTAGTTTACTGGGGGCACATTCATTCATACAAACTAATATTTGAGCTAGTCTCAAGAGCCACTTGCCCTGGCCCCTGCTGATGAGATAAACAAAGGGAAAATAGATAGGTCCACTGCAATCAATTTCAGGGAACTCCTGGGGTCCTTCACCCTCTGGGGGCCTCAGTACAAGTCACCCCACAACCATAGCCCAAAACAAATGGAGTAAACAGAGCAAAAAACAGCTAAGCACTTTTTCCTTTTTAAAAAAATTATGTAAAGTTTTCTTTTATTTAAAAGATCATTCACCTGGGCCGGCCCGTGGCTCACTCGGGAGAGTGCGGTGCTGATAACACCAAGGCCCCGGGTTCGGATCCCATATAGGGATGGCCGGTTCGCTCACTGGCTGAGCGTGGTGCTGACAACACCGAGTCAGGGGTTAAGATCCCCTTACCGGTCATCTTTTTAAAAAAAAAAAAAAAAAGATCATTCACAAAATACCACATCCATAGATTTACTACAGCTCAACTCTTATAGTAAGCCATTACACAAGAGTAGCCACTGGCCCCTGTAGCAAGATTCCCTCAGCTCCCAAGATAAGCAGTATTAATGGAGCAATAAATCCTCACTAATTAAAATGGCCCAGAGTTCTAAAGAGAAAAGCAGGCCACAGCAGCCGTGACCGACCCACTGGCCCTGACCACATGTGAGACACGGAACAAGGATGAAATGTCCCTTCCCCCAGGCCCCTGCCCCAGAAGCCTCTGTCTCCTTGCAGTTAGCAATAGGCACACTGGTTGGGTCTCCTGGGGGGAGTGAGCTTCACACTCCAGAAGGACAGAATGGAAACAGCTGGTGGGTACACTTTCACCAGTGCCAAAGTGGCATCTGTTACAAAGAGCAATCTAGCTAGAGTGAGACATTTTGTTTGTATTATTATTATTAAAATAATAGTTATTTTAGAAAACAGACAACTGGAGAAGGAAATAAAAGTGAAATCAAAGCCTCCTGAAATCCCACCACTAACAGATATCCACTATTAACATTTTGTGACTTATGACCCTACTGTCTGTTTTTCCACATTTTTATCCCTCCCTAAGTCACATCTAAAATACAAGTGTTACATATCTATCCCTCTAACCATATGTGCTTTAAAAAAACAAGTAAAAACAGAATCAACTTTGCTTCTTTTACATAATTTTAGATAATTATTCCTTATTATACTTTCATAAGATATTTATAACAAATATTTAGTACTTATAGCAAATATTTATAATATATGTATTTGCTATAAATATTTCACAAGCCTAATAGTATAATGAACACCTATGAATCCAACACACTGAGACCTAGAACATTTACACACATTTGACACTTCCTCACTTAATAACATATTATGAGAAGAAATTTTTTTATTAGGATATTTAATGTACTTCACTTTTTAATACTAGATTTAAAAATACCCTATCAAAGAAATGCACACAGATGGGTTTAAAATTCAAATTGCGTTGATAAGCTGATAATGAAAATAGCACCTCCTGGCCCAGCCCTCCCACCCCTCCTACCCCTGCCCCAGAGGAGGCAGTTTGTAACTCTTTCAGTGGTTTCTGCAGATGGTGGACTTCTATTTTGTGACTGAGCCATCCTAGATATTATCTAGTGTCCTTCTGTTATGACAGAACTCCTAGTGTTCCCTCCACCCCTTCCCCAATAGTAGTTATCAGTAACTGGCATGTTGACGTTTGTTGCTTTGTCTCCCACGGATTTGTCACCCCTTTTCCCCTGAGTGATGGAGCCACCAAAGATTACTCAAAGCCCATCTCTTTTGAGCAGTGAGAAGCCCCAGAAAGGGGTTAATATCCCAGGACCCTCAAGAGTGAGGCATCCTTCCATTTGGGAAATTAATACTGAATTGGGGTTTTCTTCCTGCATTTATTCTTCAGCCCAGGAAGTTATAGCAAGAGAACATAGGTGGGGTTATAGTTTAACAATATAGGCTGGTATCTTTCAGTGAAACAAGTCAAATAACATTCCAGTAAGGCAATTAAGTGGTCCTATCAACGAAAGCTTGATCTTAGCAAACATTCCCTTCTTACAGCAATTTCTCAGTATCTTTACATATCAATCAGTAACTTGTCTGTCTTTGAGCCTGCAACCTTGCTGTGCCACAAATCTGTATCTTACAACAGAGACTTTATAGCCTGAGGAAAATTTCCTGTCCTTTGCAAGGTCAATATTTGAAACTGCAAGGCTTTGGAAAACCAGGCCCTGTGAGGTACATTTGCTTTATGAATCCTCTACAGACGTTATCATAACTGTTCACTGCCTAGACAAATAGAGGAGTATGATTCCATTTCCTTCCTTGGAGAACTTTGTTCTTTCTGGAGTTAAGTGCCTCATTGTGTCTCATATCCATGACTGTTCATAACTATAAGGGTTCTTAGTTTCCCAAATGCTCAGTCAGATTTGCCATCTACCTATCCTAGCTTCTTTCTCAATATCAGATCTAACATTCTAGCTAGCTAGCTCCCCTCCCATTGGAGACCTCTTTCCTGAGTCCCTTTAGCATCCTGATTCCATCTAAGTGTACCTCTCATCAGGCCTGGGCAAAGCTGTCAATCTGGGGCAGTGGTTCTCAACTGAGGGTGATTTTGACTTAAAGGGGACATTTGGCAATGTCTGGAGACATTTTTGGTTGTCACGACTGGAAAAGGAGTCCTTGGCATCTACTGGGTAGGCACCAGGGAGGCTGCTAAACATCTTACAATGCACAGGACATTTCCCCACAACAAAGAAGTATCCAGTTCAAAAGGCCAATAGTGCCAAGGTAAAGGAATCCTGCTCTGAAATGTCTACTTACCACTCTGAGGACAGAATCACCATCTTAATCTTTTTTAAAAAAACATATTTATTGAGATATAATTCAAATACCATAAAATTCGCCCATTTAAAGTATACAACTGAATAGTTTTCAGTATATTCAGAGTTATCCAACCATCATTACAATCAATTTTAGAACCTTTTTTCTCCCTCTGCAAAAAGCCCTATACTCATTAGCAGTCACTTCCCATTTCCCCCCGCAATACCCTCCTCATCCTTCACCCCAGACCCAGGAAACTACTAATCTACTCTCTAGGTTTGCCTGTTCTGGGCATTTCATATAAATGGAATCATATGATATGTGGCCCTTTGTGTCTGGCTCCTCTCACTTAGCATCATGTTTCTGAGGCTCATCCACGCCATAGCATATGTCAATACTTCCTTCCTTCTTATTGCCAGATACTACTCCACCGTACAAAGATACCACATTTTGATTAGCCATTCATCAGTTGGCATATCATCTTAATGTTCTGACCAGCTGCCTAGCAGCCCTATTTACGGGTGTACTGTATTCACTTACTTTATCCCCCTCTGGGAAGCATGAGTTGTTTCCAACTTTCCACTGTGATAAACAGGTGGGTAGAATATTTACAGTAGGGAAGTCCATGCTCTGCCAACGCATAAGTCGGTAAGAGCTGTTCTCGTGTTGACTTTCCTCCATGAAAACGGAATTCTCCCCTAACCGTCCTGTCTACCTACTAAGCACCCCGGGGGTGTCACTTACTCCTCGTCAGTCTGCACACAGTTATCAAGTTCGATCACGTGGCTCCCGATGAACCAGACCAAATTGGAGAAGTAAGGGACAGCAGTTTTATCTCTGATATAGTGCAGCATGGCCTGGTTATCCACTAAGAAAATTCACAAAAGAAAAAAAAGTCAAGCTACCAAAAATAACTTGGGGGAGATTAAAAAAAAACCAAAAAACCAAAAACCAAAAAACCACAATGAAAAAGCCCTCTGCTATAACCTAAAATTTTCTGTCTTTCCTGGAAATACTTGAAAATATTTATCTTATTCATAAAACTATACTCATCAAGGCAGTTCTTATGTTATTTTTATAATTAATAAAATATATTAGTTGGGCTAAACATTAATAGAGCATTGGACAGCCTACTTGTCAGCAGTCGATTTAGCTAAACTACGATGAAAATTACTCCATTCTCAAGCAAGTTTCCTGTATTTATATGTAAGGATAAGTTAAGAAAGTAGAAAACCAGAGGTTAATAACTTACATGACACTGGAATAAGGAACACGGGAATCGGCATTGAAGGAAAGGCAAAAAACAGACAACAGTTAGGGTTAGAAGCTGGGAGAGTGAGACAGCTGCTCAGAGGGATAGAGACCTAGGGCAGGAGGCATCTAAACTGAAAGACACACACTAGAAGAGAACAAGAGAAAACAGCGCAGGTGGCAGCAGAACCAACTGCAGCTTGGACAGGGTTGCAAACTCAGAACCCTGCCAGGGTGCCTGGAGGCCCAGTGAGTGAAGCTGCCAGGCCTGGCCTGTGACCAGGGGAACATGGCCCTCAACCCCAAAAGGGGCAGCTGTTTCTCAGTGTCAGCTGACCCCTGCCCCACAGGACTGCGGGCCCAGGATAGCCAAATCTACATCTTTAAGTCAGAAATCCAGATTATTACACAACATCTCCCAATTTTAAAATATTGGCAACTATAAGTTTTTTTCAAAAACCATCTAAGCCAATTAAAACCTGTATGGGACTGGATTCAGCCCTCAGGCCCTCAGTTTGCGACCTCTGGATGGGTCCATCCAACTGGGCTCTTAGAAAGGTTCTTAAATTTAATGCAATCCCAGAACTAGGCTGGAGTGAGTCCCTGAGGAGCCCCCCTTCCCCCACTCCTCAAATTGGGGTCATCTCAAGTATTAACATCTTGACTCATGAAGGTCAAAGCCCTTTAATGCCTGAGAAAATGGAATTCCAGCTCCACTGTGCTGACTACAGGGGAAATAACAAGGCATTGGGCAAAGAATTTCCAAGGAATCGCCTTGCAGGGACAACTGCAGTTCAGGAAACTTCTGGCTGGCCAGCCTTTTGTGTCAGTGCAGACAGAGAGCTGTGGAAGAGCTTTCTCCTGGTGGCAATGTTTTGGGCATAAAGCACATTTTAAGAGAAAGGGGAGGAATTTGCTAGTGCCGTGCTGGGGTTTATAGCTGACTGGAAATACAATATTGCCCCCTGCTGTTCCATGGTAAGAAATGCTTTTGTACATTAAAGATAAAATACTTATAGCTGTATTGAAGTATATTTTATAAGTGTAAACAAAGAAATTAAAATCTAACATTTAAAAGACAATTTAGCTTTATTTAACTTTATTCAGTTCTAACATGGCCACTCCAAATCCCACATGTGCCTCTCCTATAACACTGCTACTTCTGTGTAGCAGCACCAAGCATGACTTGAACACACATGGAAAATGCAGTGGTACGAAGATTTAAATGCCGGGCCAGCCAAATGTTCAATGACTACAAACCTTTCACGAGACAAGCAACCATGGCTTATAATGAATGAGCTCCCCGGTCACTCTGGGAAAACTGTCTGCATAGACACACAGGATCAAGCACTTGCTGCCAAGCTAGAAATCAGCTGAGGCATGACCTCGTAAGGAAACTTACCTTTATACACATTCAAAGTTATGGTTCTTACGGCAATTCTAACCATGCTTTCAGGGTGATTGAAAAATTTGATGGCTTCTGTGTACAGGGCAAAGTCATTGGTGTGCTAAAACAAAAGAAGTACCAAAAATGAGTTACAAACCTGTAAGGCAGGCCTTCTCCACCCCAGCTTTCTGAATTCCATTAGACACTTCAGTAAGACCAAAAAAATGTTGCTGATGTGAGCCTAAAGCCATGGTTCACTCCGGTGGGGAATGTGAAAAGGCATGGGGAGGTGAGGCCACGGAAAAGAGAAGGGTCCAGATAATTGCAGACCTGGGTTCATGACCTGTTCTTCCACTTCTAAGCTGTGTGATGCAATATTTGTAAGCCTCTGTTTCTTCATCTATAAAATGGGGATAATAATACCCATTTCATGATTGTTAGGATTACATGAGATCATTTCTGGTCCAGTGCCTACCCCAGCACCTGATACCTAATAAGCACTCAAGAACAATGCTAGTTATTAGCTGCCACTTCAACTAATTAAAAAGTAAAGTTTTACTAAATTCAGAGTCTCTCTCAGCTACTACATTTTCTGTTTGGAAATATATAAACGTGTAAAATATCATCATGAACGAAGAAGGTCCCAGCAGTCTTCTGGATGATGAGAATGGATCAAACAGTTCAGAACCACAGAAATCCACTGTCCCAGCCTAAAGAAGAAAGGACACCAGGAGCTAGACCTAGAGCCACACAGTGGCATGCTCTGCTGCCCCCCTGTGGCTAATTTCCCTGTGGAAAATTAGGATTCAGGATCCAGATTTGTGGGTGCCTACAGCAGTGCAGGAGAGAGAATGAGGGCATAGGTAAGAAGCAACCATAAATTCCAGACCAGCCCCTCCAGGCTGGCTGTGGAAGTGAGGGCTCGAAGTGACAACTGTCTAATAAAGACAACGCCATTTTTTTTTCCTTTTTGTCTTTTTTCGTGACCGGTAACGGGATCGCAACTCTCGGTGTTGCGCCCGTACCGCGACCAGCAACGGGATCGCAACCCTCGGTGTCGTGCCCACACCACGCTCAGCCAGCAAGCAGACTGGTCTCTATATGGGATCCGAACCCTCAGCGGGAGCGCCGCCACGCTCCCAAGTGCCGCACTCAACCGAGTGCGCCACCGGGCCGGCCCAAGACAACGCCATTTTGATGACTAGAAATCAAGTATGCACCTAACAAGTGGCAACTATACTGGCTCATATAAGAGGAAACCAAGCCCCTTTAAAAAAATGAGGCTCCTGCCATGCCTCTGATGATAAGCAGGGTGTTCTTCCAGAAAAGCATCACTCCAGCCCCAGAATCCCAGTGCTCTGCCCATGCAGCTGGGTGCACAGATGCCTAGCTGCACCTGAGTGGAGGGAGAATCTGGTCATCTCTCTGGTCTGAACTCTGCAGTTAGGTTTTCTGCCACCTGAGAGATCCTTTGGGAAAATGCTGACATCATCCATCTATACTCTGGATATATTTATTTAGCACCTACTACATGTCAGGTATTGGGCTACACAATGTTAATTTTTCAAGTTGTCACACATTTTGTGGTTGACAGCTAGTATTTCTTCCCTTTCAAGCCAGTTCTTTTCCACTACTAATCTAAACAATAAAAATCAAGGTTCAGGCTGCTGGGTAGGGCTTAAGTTTGGGGATGTGGTAGATGAAAAGGAAATATGGAATTAAAAAAAAAAAAGGTTCAGGCTGCTGTTGCCACATAATAAAGGGACAGCTGGATGGATTTTGCCCATACTCAGAGATTATGTTTGGGACTATAGTCTGACTTCAAATATAGGCTGTGCAGTGCTGGGACTACCACTCAGAAGGCACCTGCCACACAAACAGCATGTGTGCAGTAGCCAGCCACCAAGGTGGCCCCCAAGGACCCACACCTCTTGTATTCATCTGCTGTGTCGTCCTCTACCACACTGAGTCAGGGCTGGTCTCTGTGACCTAAAGAATATGGCGAAGCTAATGTGTGACTTCTGAGGCTGGGCCATAAAGGACATCACGGTTTGCCTTGGTGTCTTGGATCACTCACTCTGGATGAAGCCAGCCACTAAGCAGTGACGAAACTCCAGCAGCCCCATGAAGAGGCCCATGGAAAGGGGATCCACAGCCTCCTGCCAAGAGCCAGCACCAAGAAGCCACCCATGTGAGTGTACCACCTTGGAAGCAGATCCTCCAGCCCCAGTCCAGCCTTTAGATGACTATAGCCTCCAAAGAGAACAAACCAGAACTGCCCTGCAAGGCCCATTCCAAATTCCAGACACACTGTGAGAAAAATGTGACAAAATTCCGACGAGTGAGACTGGAGGGGAAATCTGGTGGGAAGCTTCTGGGAAAATTTTTTTGGAAGTTAAAAAGTAACACAAGGAGGGAAGTGATCTCATCAGGCATTTCAGCAGCAGCATGGGAGCATGTGATGTCTGGAGCTGCTGCAGCCATCCTGTGACCATGAGGGGTTGAATGTGAGGACAGATGCCAACTGTACGCAAAACAAGAAGATGGAAAAGTCTGGACCATTGATGATGTAGCTGAGCCACAGGATGAACCAGCCCCAGCACAGTCAGCATTTGTACCTTCTGGTACATGAGACAAACTGACTTTATTGCTCAAGCTCCTTTGAATTGTGAGAGTAGCAATTCATTTAAGTTGTTAATAATTTTCCCAAAGAATACCAGGAACATTAGCTTGTAAAGAACAGCAATGTCTAGGGTTTTAGGAAGCCAAGTACACATGAGATGCTTTGAAGACATTATCTCAATTAATTCAATCCCTGAAAACCCCACAAGGTATATATGCTCACCCCTGTTTCTCAGACAAGGAGATTGAGGCTCAGGGAGTGACTGGGACTTTGCTAAGGTCACGCAGCAAGGAAGTGGCAAGGCCAGGCCTCACCAGAGTTCCTGTTTTTCCCACAGGGTAACACTACCTCAAGACAACTTCCGACACTTCTCTTCCCTACCAAGTATAATGCTCTCAGCACAAACTAAATTTTACATTAAAAATAGAAAGGTAATTTGTTGAATAAAAAAAACCTTTTTCTTTTAAAGAATGCCAAAGTCAACCAGTGTTGCTGTGAAAATTACGACTGCAAAGCACATAAGCTCTTTGTAAATGGACAGAAGACCACCTATATCTAAGGTGATACACTGACTGGCATAGCTTTACACCCAAGGTGCCCCTCTGGCAATTACTCACCTCATTGTAAAAAAAATGGACAGTGTGGTTGTTGAGTTTTAACGAAAGCGTTTTCAGGAACGATATATAATATGCCATAATCTCCTCATCGGAAAAGTCAAATTTATGGACAATGATTGAATTTACATAGTTATTAGAGAGCAAATAATCTAGAGGGGAAAAAAAAAAAACAAAGCAAAACAGACAGGTTAACTCATGCTGGAGGAAATATAAGCAAAGGACATCAGGTAACAAGCAGATGACCACGTTAATGTTCTTGAATCGGTTAAGCTTTGGGTTGTTGGGATTAAACAAACTAACACAGAGCTTAACCTTTAACCAGCACAGAAATCACCTATTATGCATAGTCACTAGATAGTCAAAGTCAATGCCAGAGAAAAGCCCTTCCCCACCTCCCACACCAAATAGAAATAAACACTCAAACATTTCATCTGTATTGCTGGAAGTTCAACAAGGAGCCGGAGGTGGGGAAGATTAGTCGGTGTGTGGGCATTCTCACTAACCACCCACGGATGGGAGTAAAAAGCTGCCCCATTTTGCCACCAAAAATCACACTATTATCCCTGAATACCACAAAGGGTTACACATGATTTCTCTCCTCCTTATATAGCAACATGATTTCATAAAGGTCAATTTATGCCAAACTCCTTACTACATGCCCAGCACTGGGCTGAGTGCTTTACATTATAATTAATCATCACGACAATTTTACAGAGGGCTCATTCTTCCCAATTTGCAGATGAGTAAAAAGAGCTCCGAAAGGTTGATTAACTTGCCTGAGGACACAGAGATAGCAAGTCACAGTGAAGGGACTCAAATTCAGGTCTGCTGCCATAGCCTGTGTTTGTCACACACCAATGGGGCCGACAATGAAAACTGTGCACAAGAGGCCTGCAAGGCTGCCCACACATGCTCGTGTTGGGAGGCTCTGGGTTCAACTGTGGACTTGAACCCATACTGCTCATGTCAGATCTCACCTGTGCTGCTTGCTAGCTGTGTGGCCCTGGGCAAGCTGCTTCCCCTCCCCACTCCCCGGTTTCCTTGTCTAGAAACAGTAACAGTGCCTTCCTTGCAGGGCTGTTGTAGGAGTTAGAGGAGACAATGCACAAAAGCCCGCAGGACAGACGGGACACAGAGTAAGTCCTTGACATGTTAACTGCATTATTCTTACTGCTACTATTGGGAGATTCACAACCTCAGCTACCATATTCCCAGGACTGAACGCAGTTGCTCCTGGGTGAGCAGGAAATAAACCTTTAAGTTATTTGGAGCCGTCAAAGTACCTAATTTAAGTCAATCAAAGTATTACTGAACAGTCTGTCAATGACACCAAGAGCCATCCAGGAGCTTGGGACCATGACAGAGGCCATGGCGTGGGTCCATGGCTGGGTCCTCCTCAGAAGCCAGTTCTCTGGGAAAGCCACTGTGTTCAGAAAAGTCACTGTGCATTCTCTGAGCAGGCTTGGTAGAGAGGCCATGAAGTCTGTAGTCTCAGAAGACCAATTTTCAAGATCTCCTGATTATAACAACTCCTGAGGCAGCACTTGAGGCCTGCTCCATGGGAGAACAGTGGGTCTGGGGTGGGATCCTAAGAATCTTAATGTTTTTTAAAATGAGGTCACATGTATCACATATCCTAGTGCTGGATATATGTGTAAATATATATGTATTTTAAGTACATGTATGTATGTTTGTAACATACACATATAGACCTCACAGACCTTAGGTGTCCAGCTTGATGATTTTTTACATATAATCTACACCGTGTAAGCACTGCCCAGATCAGATGGAGCACACTTCCAGCTCTCCAGGTTCCTGCACGCCCCTGCCCAGTCAGTATCCCCTCCCAAAGGCAACCCCTATTCTAACTTCTATCACCAAAGACTCATTCTGCCTGTTCTTGAACTTCGTACAGATGGAATCAGACGGCATGCATGCTTCCTGCACCTGGCCCCTTCTCTCATGGCCACATCTGAGAGTCACCCACACTGCTGCATGTGGTGGTAGTGTTCATCCCTCTCTTTTGCTGTATAGTATTCCATTTTCTGAACAGTCTACAATTTATTTATCCACCTAGAATTATAACATGCAGCCCAGGTGAATCTGATGCCTGGAGCAGGTCTCTCATTCTGTGTCATTCTGGCTGTGGTTGGGGACAACTGGGGAGGGGTAATGGGCTGAAAAGAGAAGGGACTGTTGGGATGCCCTGTTGAGCCCTGTTGTGACTGGTTAGTGGCTTCCAGGCCACCAGCAGCACAGACGCCTATGCTGGCAGCTTCAGATGTGCAACTGTGAGTCTCTCAGCAGCACTCTGGAGCTGGAACAGCCACAGGCTCCATGCGGGGACTTTTCCAGGGCCTCCAAGAGATGAGTCTGTGGGTGGTGGGGGACCACCATGGGGGCAGTGGAAGTGCCTCTGTTATTTGGCTGGGATTTTTCTACTACCCCCTCACTGTGTAGCTGACTTTCTGTGGTATCCTTTTCTAATAAACCCGGGAGTCTGTAGTAATCTTAGTCTCTTGGGCCTCTGTCACTTAGGTCACCAAACCCAACAGGCAACAGGTGCATTTGTGAAATGGCTGCTTGTAATAGTGAAAAACTGGAAACCACCTAAATGTCCATGGTCAGGTTAAATAGATTATGACACAGCAAGATGCAGCTCTTAAACCAGACCAGAAAGTTACATAAAGGAACAAATGAGAAGATCCAGGATACACTGGGAGGGTGGGAAAAAAGGAAAGCAAACAGCAAAACTATTTGTTTACAATGAACTGTCAGGGTGAGATTCTACAAAAACTTGACTTTATTTTTGTAATGTTTGGCTTTTTGTTGTTCTTTTATAAAGGGGACATTTTCTTTCTAGGATTAAAAGATAAAAATTAAAACCACGGTCATATATTCTTCTCACTCCTTTCAAATCCAAGTTTGGTAAACAAGCAGTGATTTCTGCCCTTTTTGCAGGGCTTACAAAAGGGCTCTGGTGAACTGTCAGTAAAGCAAGGGCATCTACCTGGGTTTCTCAACCTTTTTGATCCCAGTACAAGAAAGGCCACGCATACTGCATGATCTCACATGTAGAATCTAAAACAGTCAAACTCATAGAAGCAGAGAGTAAAAAGGGGGTTACCAGGGGCTGCGGGGGGAGGAGGAAATGGGGAGATGTTGGTCAAAGGGTACAGAGTTCCAGTTATGTAAGATGAATATGTTCCAGAGATCTAACTACTGTACAGGAGGGCGACCATAGTTAACAATACTATACTACATACTTGAAATTTGTTAAGAGGAAAGACCTGGGCTGGCCAGTTAGCTCAGGTAGTTAGATCACAGTGCTGATAACACCAAGGTCCAGGGTTCAATCCCTGTACCAGCCAGCTGCCCAAAAAATAAAAAAGCGTAGATCCTAAGTATTCTCAACAAGCACACATGCATCCACACACAGACACACACATGCACACACACGGTAACTATGTAAGATGATGGATATGTTAATTATCTTGATTGTGATGATTATTTCACTATGTATATGTATATCAAATTGTCAAGTTGTACACCTTGAATATACATAATTTTTAAAAAAAGAAAAGCCATGAGATCCAAAGAAACCCTCTAAAAGCCAGAATTTTTGATTGCTCCAACCCCATCTTTAATCCGTAGCCTTGTGCCTAGCTGGGCTTAGAGAGGGTTACCAGAGAAGAGACACTGAGAAGGCTGCATTAAGTGATAAAACCAATGGTGTGGACCCCCCCCCCCCCCCAGACCCCATGCTAAGCTCTGCACACCCGCTCTCATACTTACTCCTTAAACTGCTCTATCCCCAGCTACTATTATCTCTGCCTGACAGATGCACAGACTGCAGCCGGAAGCGTTAACTCACAGGACACACATGGGCAGTGTATGGTAGAACAGGGCCCAGGAGCTGGTTCGGTCTGAGTCCAGGGCCTGCGCCATGGAGCTGGATCTTCCCCTCTCAGAGTTTGCAGAAACTGCACTCGTTTCATATCCAGTGAAACAGAAGCTGATAACAAGGGAAACCACTTAGGGGAGACACGAATCAACCCACATTTGTCAACTTGTGGTCATCAGGAAGTGTAAGGCGTCTCCGAGACAGCAGTACCACCTAGTGGCCACTGCAGAGAACCACCATCTAGCCAGCTCTTCCCTCCTCTCCCTCCTTGCCCCTGAGAAAGAATGCCACCATCTCTGCCTCCCTTCGCCCACCCAACACTCTCTTCAAACCTGTCCTGGGGACCTAGAACCTGCCTTTGAATTTGTCTTCTCTCCTCTACTTTTTTTTTTTCCCTCCCCTATTTCTTGCAGGCAGGGCCTGGGCTTGGTGCAGTCATCTTAGAATGATAAAGCTAGTGGCCAAGTGCGGAGGAATAGGAACTAAACCAGGGCCTCTCAACTTCAGTCCTACTGACATTTTGGGCTGGGTCATTCTGTGGGGCCGAACTGTGCACTACAGAACGTTTAGCAGCTTCCCTGGCCTCTACCCACCAGATGCCAGTAGCATTCCCCTCCACCTGGACTGTGACAACCAAAAATGTCCCCAGACACTGCCAATTGTGACCTAGGGGTCACAAGCACCCCCAGCTCAGGACCACAGAGCTAATCCACCTGGGCTGAAACCCCTTCTCCATTCTGGCCTTACCAAGGCTGTCACCCTGGGCCAGTGACTCAAACTCCTTTGGTGTTAAAACGAAGGCACCAACACCATCTGCCTCTCGGGGGTGGCGGTTACAGATGAAGAAACACGGGCTTAGTGGCAGCAGTTGGGCAGCAGGACTGGAGCAGGAGAGGGTGGGGCCAAAGCCACACCCTCTCCTGCTCCTTACTCAATTTCTCACCCTGTTTCTCCCAATGCTGATTCCATTGGTTGATTGTTTAGTGACCCCAACTCTTTTTTTTTTTTTTCCTTTTTGTCTTTTTTTCATGTCCGGCAACGGATCGCAACCCTCAGTGTTGCGCCCGGACCGGACCGGACCGGCAACGGAATCGCAACCCTCGGTGTTGCGCCCACACCTCGCTCAGCCAGTGAGCGGGAACCGGTCTGTATGTGGGATCTGAACCCTCGGCGGGAGCGCCGCCACGCTCTCAAGCAGCACACTGTAGCAGTGCGCCACCGGGCCGGCCCCCCCAACTCTTGAATAACACATCATTAAGAACAAATGCAAACACCCCAGAATCATTCAGAGGGGAACCCTCTTTTAGCCCTTCACAGTACCCCAATACACAGGGATAAACGCAGTGTTATGGAATGAATTGTGTGTTCCCCCTGCCACCCACAAACTCATGTGTTGAAACCCTAACCCCCAATGTGATGGTATTTGGAGATAGGGCCTTTAGGGAGGAAATTAGGGCTAAACGAGGTCCTTAGGATGGGAGCCCTAATCTGATAAGAGTGGTATCCCTATAAGAAGAGAGGGTTGGCTGGTTAGCTCAGTTGGTTAGAGCACAGTGTTTTATCACCAAGGCCAAGAGTTCGAATCCCTATACTGGTCAGCAGACAAAAAAAAAAAAGGAGACACCAGATCTCTCTCTCTCCACACACAAACACACACAGAGGAAAGGTCACACACAGCAAGAAGGTGGCTGTCTGCAAGCCAGGAAGAGAGCCCTCACCAGAAACCAATGCTTATGGCAGCATGATCTTGGACTTCTATCCTCCAGAACTATGAGAAAACAAATTTCTGTTGTTTAAGCCACCCAATATGTGGTATTTTGCTAGGCCAGCCTGAGCAGACTAATACGTGGTAAGCACAGACAAATAAAAACAATCCCAAACCACACCCTGCTGACACCCAGCAGTGCAGAGGCAAATGTTAAGGAATGTCCTTACAAAGTGAGGTCTCGTGACTAATATTCTCAAAGAGGATGTTCAGGGTCTGGAGCAGCTGAACGCACACATAGCGGCCGGATTTCTGCCGCAGGATGTTCAAGAAGAAAACAAACATATTCTTCTCCAGGAAGAAGCTGGGGAAAGAACAGGAAAGGATCAGTGGTGTGTCTCCACACATGACAACTGAAATCCTCTGGTTACATTCACAGTACATGTGCATAGACCTCCGCCCCCTGCACCACAAAAGCATCTGTAGAGATGCCAGATCACACCACCTGTGTGGCCTCTGCTTCCATACCATCCAGTTCCCACAGTGCCATCTTCCATCAAGGTTAACACGCAATCTTTCAACTCTCTTTCCAGAATGAAAACGAGATAACAGTGCTGATTCTGGGAAGCACTGAACTAGATTTCTGACATAATGGGAAAGACCTTTATCCACTGAACAGTCACGTGGTAAACTATGCTTGTAAATCCAACAAGCAGCATTTTCCATCAAATATTTCTTATCCTTAGTTTTCCTTACTAAGTCTCTTTCCTTTTCTCTCCACATCTTTGAGTGTTAAGAAAAGCAACAACTATGGCTAGCTGTTTAGTTAGTTGGTTAGAGTGTGGTGCCAATAACGCCAAGGTTTAGAGTTCAATCCCTGTGCGGGCCAGCTGCCAAAAAAATAAATAAGTGGAAAAGCAACAACTGGAATTCCTGCAAAGAGTTATGATAATGCTAAATATTAAGTGAATTTTGGTTTCTAAATTGTCGAGTTTGTAGCTTTCCACGAGAAAAGAACTGGAAGGAAATACACAGGTGCTGATGTGGTAGAGGTACCTTAACCAGTCCCCAAGTCTGCTCCACCTTTCTCGTTCTGGACAGGACACTTGTCTGCATGCAGCCTAGGAGCACTGGCTTTTGGGGGTACAGGTTGGCTCTTCTAGTCTTGAAAAGGAAACAGAACTCCTTAGTGCCTTTCTTTAAAGGAAGAAAATGATGCTTCTAGTTTTGTGTTCTCTGTGTTCAAGCTAAGGCTAGATAATCTCTCATGTGGGAAGCTCAGAAGAAACTCCTGCAGTCATGTGTGTCTGCTGATTGACTTAGTTTTGAGTCTCTCCCCCGTCATCTGTCAGCTCCACAGTGGCAGGATCATGAGCCTGGCACTTGCTGCATAATTTCTGTTTGAACCCATGAAAGGGTAAATGAATGAATAAATATAACCCGAAAAAGATCCAACTCTGATTTTGAGAGCCTGTCTGCCTATAAATACCATTCGCATTGATTTCCAGAGTATTTCTGTCATTTGACCTATTTTGTCTACCTTTGCTTCAGGTTGTATAAATCAGTGACGCCCAAATACCACCAACAAACTCACTGCTACACAGTGATCAACTCTGGAACTTGTTAAAAAGTCTGTTCCTAGATCTTGCTCAAAGGATTGATTCAGTAGGTTTAGTGTGAAATCCAGGAACCTGAATTTTTTTTTTTTTTTTTTTGACCAGCAACGGGATCGCAACCCTCGGCGCTGCTCCCGTGCCTCGCTCAGCCAGTGAGCGGGAACCGGTCTGTATGTGGGATCCGAACCCTCGGGCGGGAGCGCCGCCGCGCTTCCCAAGCGGCGCACTATCCAGTGCGCCACCGGGCCGGCCCATACAGTTTCTAATCTTTAACCCAAGGGTCTTTCTCATCTTCAAAAACATATACAAACAAACAAACAAATTCCCCACAGACCCTTAAAGGAAGCTAGTCCCATTTAAAAGAAACACCTCAGTTTATATTCACATGTTTCCTTTGGGGATCATGGCCAATGTCACAGGTATGCATTGTAGGGAGTTTACATTTTCCACAAGTAGCTTTATTAGATAACCTTACCAATGAAAATACAGATCTATCCTGAAAATCAATTCAGGATATCTAATAAGGAGCCAGGTTAGAAAAGGAACACCTTTATTTTTTTTAAATGGGGTTTAAAAGTGGCTTCAATATTTACAATTGGGGTTATATTTGTAATTGAGATTATATAGAAAATCTGTCATGGTGGTTGTCAGAACCCAATCCCAAATCCTTCTGCCCTAAGACACTGACTGGTCTACTGAGGAGACAGTTCATGGTTTACTGCTTTTGCTTTTTAATCGTCCAGTAGGCACACCTGTTTTTATCATTTGTTATCATTTATTGAGTGCCTACTTTGTACTAGGCAGGGAACTTTCTCTCTCTCCTTTGAAGATGTAGAAACTGAGGCTCAGGAAGATAAAGAGCTTGGCTTAAGACTGCTTATCTAGGAAGGAGAGGATGGAGAGAAACCCCTTCACGGGCCCTGGGTGTGAGCCGCTGCTTCACCACTTACTTACTGTGTGTCCTTGAGCAAAAATGGGGATACCAACAGGACCTCTACCCTGAGGGAGACTTAGCTGGACTATCTCATCAAGAGCTTGGCCCTGTGCCTGGCCATCAGCAAACACAGTAACTGTGAGCTTCACAGTAACTGTAAACCCAGGGCAGGGCCCTTTCTGTTCACTTTGAATCTAACCACCCAGGATGTTTTCTCCTTCCTTTGGAGAGATAATCAGACAATTCAAGGACATTTTATGTAGAGAGATAGAGATAGAGATCTGGGCAAGACCAAATTAGTGTCAGATCCTGACATCATCAGGAATGACTCACGGTATACATTTAGAAAAACATCTAAAGGAAGAAGAATCAAAAAACAGAACTTATTAGAAACTCTTACTCAAATACAGAGCTGTCATTCTGATCTCCCCAAATCAGGATCTCAGTGATGGAACGAATGGTCTCCACCAGCAGGTTCCGGTTCTGTTCTGTGACTGTGGTGTTCTTGGTTAAAACATGGTACAGATACCTGAGAGAAAGGAGAGAAGGGGAAACGAAAATGAAATGAAAGCCAGGCTCAATGACCATTAGCAACATTTCGGTGGCAGTGCAGCAGCACTTTTTCAGATTCTGCTAGCACAATTTTCCATTCAGATTAGATAACTCAACCAGCCAAGAAAAATGGCAGACAATTCTTTGAAGTGGTAAACAACTAGGGACACGCCAACCCAAACTGAGGCAAGAGAATCACCAATTCCTTGAAGACAGCCATTCTCAAACTTCAGTGTGCAAGAGAATCACCTGGAGAACTGGATCAAGTAGGGACTACAGGAGCCCAGTCAGATTTGGATTTAGCAGGACCAAGGGAAGAGCAGGCATCAGCCTGTTTCACTTGTTCCCTGGTGATTTTGATGCCAGTGGGACATATGGAGACATAAGACTCAGGGCTGAATGCCTCACCCAAGCCCCATGGCCAGGCTGATGCAGAGATTTAGAGATGGAGGCATGGCTTAGGGAGGGTGGGTCCCAATGCCAGTGTCTGGGACAATGATCACATGCAATCAAGATTACCTTTGGAAAGCCCATAGTCCTCCCTAACATGCAGTATGCCCATCAGAACCTATGGCACAAATGTCCAGGGGCAACGATCTTATTTACTGAGTAGAGACTGTTAAATTCAGAGTTAAATGGACTTGAAAGGCTATTGTGTTGTACTTCATCCTTCCAAACAGGCCTGGAAGCCAGCTGCTGGGACAGAAGACAGGCAGACACAGTCCAGTCCTCAAGGCATCTCTGCTAGTGGTGAGGGAGGACAATAGAATCGCCAAGGCCAGTCCTGAGCAGTGCGGGGACCAGCAGCCTGGGAAGATGCTCTGGGAGTGCTGCCTGGCACACCTTTGAAAATGGCTTCTCCAGAGCCCACAGATTCAGGTAACTTCACCTATCAAGGGAGGCTTGGGTTTTTTATTATTTTTTAATTTTTTTTTACTAAAAGATGACCGGGTAAGGGGATCTTAACTCTTGACTTGGTGTTGTCAGCACTAGGCTCTCCCAAGTGAGCTAACCAGCCATCCCTATATAGGGATCCGAACCCGTGTCCTTGGTGTTACCAGCACCACACTCTCCCAAGTGAGCCATGGGCCGGTCCTGTGCAGATGACATCCATTAGCATCACACATCATGCTCCTGGCCCAGTGGGAGGCAGTGGCCTTGGTGAGTGGGTTTGCTGTGAAGACCCCCAACAAAGACAAGAGAGTTTAAAATCTTTAGGACCAGGTCTGACTTCAATTGCCTGGGCTTTCTGCCTAGAATGCCCTTGCTGCCCTCGTCAACCAGCAAACTCTTACTCATATTTCAAAATCCAGCTCAGGCATCTCCTGGTGAAGCCTTCCTTAAAGAAAGCTTTCCCGCCCCATCCCCATGAACTTGACTGTTCCCGCCTCACTGGCTCCTTTGTACTCACATACATTGCTACTGCATAGACCACCCTGATTTGCAATGATCTGCCTCCCTTACTCAAGGTCAGGAACATCATCTTATTGATCTTGGTGACCCCAATATAGTCCAAAATATCTGGTATGCAGCAGGTACTCAATAAATGCCAAATGGGGCAGGGAATGGTCTTCATGAACATAGGTTAGATCAGAGCAAATAAGACTGAACATAACCAAGGGTCCAAATGTCAGACACAGCAAGTGACAGCATAGAACTGTGGTGAAAAGTTCAGGTTTTGGAGTCAGAGGGACTTGTGCTTGATCCTTGGCCCTGCCACTTCTTAACTGTGGTCTTGGACAAGGCACCTCACCTCTCTGCAGCTCAGATAACAGTCTCTGGGTTGTTCCAGAGATGCAATGTGATCATGCATAGAAAGAGCCCAGCATGGCACCTGGCGCAGAGTGAGCTCTCAATAGAAGCAGGGTTAGCTGCTATTATTATATTGTGATCATTATGGTGGAAGCCATTATTAATATCATTACTAAGTTACACAAAGACCATTCCAGGAACTTAGGAAGGAGAGATCAGGCTGGATCCAAACAGTCAGGGAAAGAGGACCTCAAGGGAGGAGTTATGACGGGAAGGTCCAGAGAAACCAGAGCAGGGAGTGGAAAGTCTGGGTCATTTCCTGAGAGGCAGCAGAGTATGGGTGTCAATTACAGACACTGGTGCTAGAATGCCAGGTCTGAGCCCCTCTCCGTCACTTATGAATTGGGTGATCTTGAGCAAGTTACTTCCTCTCTGTGCACCTCATCTTCTCACCTGTAAAGTGGGAGCAGCAAGAGTACCTAAATACTTTAGTACCTACTTATTATGGTGCTGGGAGGAATAAATAAGAGAGCGATAACTAACTGGCAGTTACTATATATGACACAAGTGCTATTACTGTTGTTGCTTTCATTAAATAATTTCTGAAAAAAATCCTAGTAACTACTAGGATCCTGTTACAGACAAGGAAAGGGCAGGGTAGTAAGTCCTGAAAAGAAGATTCTAGGAGCTCCCATGTGCCGGGCTCTGTGTGAGAGCTTCACATGAGCCTCAGACTCATGGGATTTGGGAGCGTGCACACTGTGACCACTGCACAGGCCAAGACAGCAACTGAGGCTTGGGGACATTCAGTAGCTTGCTCACGACCTGGAGGCACAGTCTGAGAGCTGCATTTATTCCAGAGCCTCTCCAGCATTGGTGCCCTTTGCCTTTTTCAGTGGAGCCATTCCACGGGGTGCATGGTGATATCACATTGGGGTTTCACTGCACGATGACTAATAAAGTTGAGTGCCTTTTCATACATGTTTATGAACCATCTCAAGATCTTCTTCATGCGGTGTCAGTGCAAGTCTTTTGCCCATTTTTTTATGAGGCTGAGTGAGTTTTCTGTATCTATTTGATGGAGTTCTTTACATATTCTAAATACAAATCCTTTACTGGATATATGTATTGCAAATATTTTCTCTGATGTGGCTTGCCTTTTCACTTTCTTTTTAGTGGTCTTTTGATGAGCAGAGGTTCTTAATTTTAATGTAATCCAATTTATCAGTCTTTCCCTTTAACAGTATTTTTTTGTATAAAGCTTAAGGAATCCTTACCTACTCCAAGGTCATGAAGAAATGATGTTTTCTTCTAACGAAGTTATTGTTTCACCCCTCAAATTATGACTTAGTGTACATCTGGCACTGATTTTTGTGTATGGTATGAAGTACTGTCCAAAATTAATTTTTTCTAAATGGAGATCTAGTTGGCCTACCAGCATTTACCAAAAAGGCCCTCATATCTGTACTGCACTCCAGTGTCACCTTTGCTGTTAATCAGGTAACCACACGTGCAGGTCTCTTTCTGGATGCTCTAGTTGATCAATTTGTCTACCCTTGTGCCAATACTATGCTGTCTGATTACTGAGGCTTAATAATAAATCTTGTCATGTGGTAATGTAAGTCTTCTAACTTCTTTCCTTCTGTTTTTTTCAATATTATATTGGCTATTCTTGGCCCTTTTAATTTCCATATACATTTAAAAATCACCTTCTCTATTTCCACAAAGATGCCTGCTAAGAATTCCTTTGAGATTGCCCTACATCTATGGCTAAATTTGGACAGAACTGACATCTGTACAATAGTGTAACATTATGATATTTACCACTCTTTCCATGTTTGGATAGGGGTCTTGCACATCTTTTATGAGATTTACTCCTAGATAACTGATGTTTTTTAATGCTACTGTAAATAGTATTGTTAGAAATATTAATTTTCTAAAGATTTGTTGCTGGTTGCTATGGTTTGAATGTACCCACCAAAGTTCATGTGTTGGAAATTTCATTCCCACAGCAACAGTACTGGGAAGTGGGACCCTTAAGAGGCGATTAGGTCTCGATTGCTCTGCCCTCTGAATGGATTAATGCTGTTATCACGGGAGTGGGTTCCTGATGAGTTCAGCCCCTTCCTCTCTCACTTGCTCTCTTGCCCTTTTGCCTCCTGCTGTGGGATGATACAGTAAGAAGGCCTCACCAGATGCTGGCACCTTGATTTCGGACATCCCAGCCTCCAGAACTGTGAGAAATACATTTCTTTTCTTTATAAATTACCCAGGCTCTGGTATTCTGTTACAGTAACACAAACTAGACTAAGACATTGGTATATAAAAATACCCACTAGATCTCAAGCTCTAAGGCTCTGTGATGGTTATATCTTCACCTTGCTCATCTTTTTGTCCCCACAATGCCCTGGCACACTGTTTTAGGTAATGTTTTAGGAAAAGACACTCAGTATACGTTTGCTCATATGTACTGGGGGGAAAACATTGAATGGATTAAGATTTAACATTTTAATGCTGCAACGAATTCCAGAGCTTTGGAAGATCAATCAATTCAACCACCTCAGAGATATAAACAGTTTAATAACTTTGTGAGGATAAATGGAACACTCATTTTAGAGAGGTTGGAAACTTCAACAACAACAAAAGAGAAATGGCAATTGTCTATCATGCCACTGCCCAGAGATGACTGCTGCTGGAGTTGCAATCTACCCCCACAACAACCCTGCAGGGTGATGCACTGGGGCGGTGAGGTACCTGCCAGAGTTCCGAGGCAGCACAGGTGGAGGATTAGAACCAGGTAGTCTGATTCCTACCCCCATTACTATAATGATTCTAGCACAGAAAATACAAACAATGAAATGAGCAGCACTTTTATTAGCCAAGCATTTACATGAAGTTATGAATGCCTGACACACGAGAAAACCAAACAGGCATGAAACAAACCAAAAAGGCATGAAAATATGTATCAGAAATTAAGGAAAGTCCTTACAACTGATCCTTACTCCATTTCTTTAGAAAAGAGCCAGCATGATCATATTCCCAACAGGAGCTCTGCTGATGTAGAGTCCCGATATCAGACCCTTGCACATTAACAAACTCTACATTTACAGACGAGCTTAGGAGCCTGAAACGCCTGGAGACTGAAAAACTGCAGCCTATTGCCAACATGCAACCAACACACTAGGGGCTCATCACCAAGGACTAGGGATGTAAACAAATCCCGTC